AAAATTACTAAGAGTTTCTATATTAAACTGTTGATATGACCGATTAATACTAATTTTTTTTGTGTTTATATAAATTGATTTTTTTTTAAAATTGTGAAAATTGATTTTTTTATATAAATTATTAAATTAATATGTAAATTGATTTTTTGTTTGTAACATGCTATATAAGCATTACATTTTTAGTTTTAAAACAGATGTAAATTTTTTAAATAAATTAAATAAAATTAAACTCGTAACATTCATCTTTAGAAAACTTTATGGTGGCAGTTCCGCTACATATTCGAGGAAATCGTAAATAAATAAATAAATATAAACAGATTCCCACTAATAATGTTAATATAAATATTGAATTTCCAATATACTCAGGCAATGGCGATCTTTTTTTGAAGATTCGAAGACATCTTCAAGGACACTCAGATCTCGGACATCGAACAGGTTCCTTTACAAGAAGACTACCAGTTGAGGTATATATCAAGCTCAAATCAATATGTTCACCTACCGACTTCATCAATCCATCGATATTGATTGAAAAATTTAGGTTATTACACCCGAGGAAATCTACAAGTTCCAACTTATTATTATTTAATGCAGCTGTACAAGGTAAAAACGAAAGTTACATCAATTGGTTTGCTAAGTGATAGTAGAGTTATTGAAAAAGTAAAAATTTCATCAATCAGCAAAAATATTAGGCAGAAAATTACGTTAAAAGAAAACATTACATTAGCAGAAGTTCTTTTAAGAGATAATTTTGAAGAGTTAGAATTGAAAGAAAATATAATTGCTAAAGTTAAAAATATTTCTTTAAACGAAAAAATAGAAGATGATACCCATGAAACATGTAGAAAGGCATAGAGGCAGGAAAACAGAAGAAAATAAACAGTTGGTGAGATATGGAGACCATGACGAACGACAAAATTTACAATCTAATTACGATAACAGACAACGATAGACAACAAGAGGCCATGACTTTCAAAGAAATAATTATCAAGGAAATAATTACAACCATAGATATCAAGGAAATAATTACAACCCTAGATATCAGAATTATAACGCGAATTATTACAACAACGTTAGAGTAAACTATCCAGGATCGTACAATAATTCTTCGAGATTTGATAATAGAGCTAGTTATACAATAACTATAATAATTATAGGTTTAATAATGATTATAATTACAGATATAACAGACATTATAACGATTCAAGATTTATTCAAAGACATAACGATGATCATAATGTTGGAAATCAAGGAAGAAATCAAGTATGCAATTCTAAATATCATAACAATGATAATAATCAATCACGATATACAAATAAAGTAAACACTGTAAATATAGAAGAGATAAAAGAAGATGATAATGACAAACTAGAAAGAAAAGAATGTATTTTATACAATTTAGACATAAGCAATATGGATATCGATAATAATTACACAGCTACGATACATATAAGGTTACAGTATATTTGAACGACATGACTATTTTAATGCAGATTGACACCGGCTCAAGGTATAGTATCCTACCGATTCATATCGCGAAAAAGATTGGAGTAAAAATCTTAAATAAATCAGATATTAAATTAACTGGATATGATGGAAACACAATAAATGTATTAGGAACTACCAAAGTCAAGGCAAAATTTGAGGACAAAAGTCAAATCTTAACTGCTTATGTGTCCAGAGTGATAAGATTGCACTGTTAGGAATAACCTGGATAACAGTTTTTGGGAATATACTAGATAAATTTGTGAATAAGGTCGAGGATGATTATGATAATACTATACAAGAAAATTAAGCAATGCAATTTTAAACTTAACAAAAAACCAATGCTTCGCAGCTTTGTCAAATTACATAAAACGATGCCACACCGAAAATCATACCGCCAAGGCGTATACCATATTCTAGAATTGATTTGATAACAAAAGAACTTCAAAAGTGGATAAACGATAAAATTATTGAGCCTGTTGAAGACGTTAGATGGGCTAGTTCTCTCACTCCCGTTTATAAGAGCGATGGCTCACTTAGGCTCTGTGCCGACTTCAAAAATACTATCAACCCTGCTTTACAAGATTTCAAGTACCCTATACCACGCATTAATAATTTGTTCGCAAAATTATTTAAAGGTAAGAAATTTACCAAGATAGATTTTAAAAACGCGTTTCTCCAAATACCTATACGCAAAGAATCCAGAGATTTTCTTACAATATCAACACATAAGGGCTATTATAGGTTTATGAGACTGCCGTTTGGTTTAAAAACTTCGTCGGCAATATTCCAACAAACTATGGATAACATTTTAGGAGACATGAAAGATGCAATATTTTATATCGATGATCTACTGATTACCGGGGACGATGATGAAACTTATTTAAACAACATAAAATAGGTGTTTGATAAAATGAAATATGAGCTTACACTTAACTTTGCAAAAAGTATATTTTTTAAAAAAAAACTACGGTTCTTGAGGCACGATATAGACGACAAAGGTATAGATCTAAATTCAGATAAGATAAAAGCTATTTCTAACATGCCGGAACCGAAGACAAAAGATGAATTGGCAACTTTTTTTTAGCTATTATGGGAAATTTTTATATAATTTTGCAGACATAGCTGATCCCTTATATAAAATGGTTAATAAAGACAAATGGTTATGGGATAGTACACATCAAGAAAACTTCGACGACCTAAAAAAACTGATAAGTACTCCGCCTACGTTAAATTTCTATAATCCGGATCTACCAATAGGCATTGCAACTGATGCTTCAAAGAAAGGTCTAGGCGCAGTCTTATTTCATATTAAAGGTGATGGCAAAGAAAACCCCATTGCTTTCGCGTCAAGAGCTTTATTAAGATCAGAGTTTAATTACCCTAATATAGAGAAGGAAACTTTATCTGTTATATACGCGGTAAAAAAGTTTCAAGAATATTTAATTGGTACGAGATTTACAATAATCACAGATCACAAGCCACTCGTTTATATATTTACGAAGGAACTCAAGGATATTTAATCCATATCAATGCGACTTCAAAAATGGATTTTGGCTATGGGAGCTTATGACTTTATGATAATTCATAGACCCGGGAAACGAAATGTAATACCGGATTGTTTGTAAAGATTACCCCAAATGAACACAGAAGAAATGGTACAAGAGATAGAAGATGAAAAAATTGATGACAAATTTTGGGACTTACCAATAAATTTTAAAAGAATAGTTTAAGAAACTAGTATTGTTATCGAATTAATGGAGGTAATTAACAATATAAAGAATCATGAACAGATAAAGAATAAAATATATAAAAATATGGAAATGGAACTGAGCTTAATTAAAGATCGTCTTTTTAAAGAGAATAAGATCATTATACCGAAAAATATGAGAAAAGAGATATTACAGGAATCACACAAAGAGCATCTTAGTGCTGGGAAAACGAAATTGTTGGCGAGAGATTACTTGTGGTGGCCTGGTCTAAACGCTAAAATAGATCAGGAGGTGAGAAACTGTGATACATGTAATAAATGTACGGACATTCCTCACAATGTACAAAATCCATGGGAAACAGCTGTAAAGGTGTTCGATTCGAACGCGTGCACATCGACTTTGCACAGTTTTAAGGTAGCAATTTCTTGGTATGTGTTGACGCACTTAGCAAGTTTTCTATCATTATAAGAATGAGAGATATAACTTCTACTATTAAAGAATTATTAAAAGTAACCTCAACACCAACAGTCCAATGGTCAGTGTGAGCGAATGATAAGATCAATGAAAATATGTATGAAAAGGAATATGGAAAGTAATAATAAAATAGACTTAAGCTTTGGAAAAGTTTTTATTCAATTATCGCAACATACCAAACGCGACAACCAACAAGATACCAAGCGAAGTGATGTTCAACAGAACCATAAGAACCAGATGGGATTTAATTAAACAACAAGAAGATAAAGTTAATGAATTTAATCGCAATTTATCGTCAAATAGAAATATCATGAATGGTGACAAAGTTTGGTATAAACCCTTCAAGGATAATATATGTGACAAAGGCACGGCAAAACGTAAAAATGGGAATTTAATATTTGAAGTGGATACGGGAGACAAAATTATTAGAAGACATTTAGACCAAATTAAAAAAAGGTCTAAAAGTAGCACACCTCTTGATGAAACGACACATTTGAAAACAAATACTGAAAATGCAATACCTTTTATTGTAAGTTTAAGAAGAAATGATGATCAAAATTTAGGAGTACAAGAACAGAGTCTTGTTAGTCAAAGACCAAGTAGGAATATAATTTTGCCCAAAAAATTCGATAATTTTATAATGAAATAAAGACTAAAAATATATATATATATTATAAAATATTTTTCTTAAAAATAAACTTTCAATAGCAAATTTTAATGAAATATACTAATGATGACAATATAACTATCAAGAAACGTTGAGTGCACGATAAGATTCACATGCAAGAAAAACCTGAGTGGATATCATTTTTTAAAGGGTGGAATGTTGATATTTTAAATTGTTTTTTTTTGTGTTTATATAAATTGATTTTTTTTATAAATTGTGAAAATTGATTTTTTTATAATTATTATATTAATATGTAATTGTATATTGATTTTTTGTTTGTAACATGCTATACAAGCACATTTTTAGTTTTAAAACAGATGTAAAATTTTTAAATAAATTAAATAAAATTAAACTCGTAACTTTGAATATTCTTAATTATTGGGAATGATTCAAATTTTTTGTCATATGCATATTGAGAACATAAATTAAATATATATACATATACTATTTTTTTCTAATATTGAAAACTTTATAGATAATCCAATCAATATTTATTAGATTGTAAATATTTATATTGAAAATATTTTAAAGTGCTGAAATAAATTAACCTTTATATTTGGAATATAGACTTACTATAACTTTATTTTATTTTTTATTTATCAAAATTTGCAATCTAGTTAAATAATAGTATACTCCTAAATATTATTATAAATGTGTTCTCCTAGTTGATTATTAATTTTATATTTGTCATCGGGAAATTTCTCCATAATTTTTTTTTTTATTTATGTCATATAATCCAGGAAATTTTAATACTAATCGCCGTTTCATTCCAACTGGTCTTCCTGGATGGAACATGAGGCATGATAGCAATACTGGATGGCCACAACCTTTTAATTTTGATGAAGAGTTTGATAATGTAAAGTTTTTTTAATACAATAATTAATTTTTTATATTAATATGTATAATGTGCATGTATACTTATATGATTTTATAATATAAATTAGATCAATAGGCAACCTAACAATTTTACTAATGCCCAAAGAATATTACTTAATGATGATCCTTTACCATCATTTTCTTCACCAGCATCTTATTCATCTTCCCCTAGCAGAGAAGGTATATGGGATGATACAAAGGAAAATGACATGATGAGTGATTTTAACAATAGATCTGCATTCAAAATAAATAGCAACACTAATCACTGGAATAGTGCAAGAGAAATACCCATAATAAGATTGGGTGACAATAATGCAAAATATGCAAATCATCCAGATTATAATAGTCAATTTAGGAATAATTCAGATTATTATGATTTAAAAAATGAATTTGACAATCATATACATGATCAGAATAATAGATTAAATAATAATTTTGGAAACATAGAAATCCCGATTGAAGTATGCTTACCTTCCAACATTAATAAACCTAGCTCTTCTAAAAAAATGACTGAATTTAAGCAACCAAATTATTATGTACAAAATGAAATAAAAAATACTTCCAGTGGTCCAAATCATTTTAATCATGTTAAATCATCACCCAAGGATATGGCTCATACCCAAACTACATATAATTCTCAAGATAATCAAAATACTTATGATACTCATCCTGACAACCATAGTAATAGGCCTAGAAGTCGTAAAAGATATTCAAGTAAAAATAAGCAGGATAAAAGATTTCAGAGTAAATCTCCATCTCCTCATAAAAAGCTGCCAGATCCTCATAAAGAATTAAATAAAAGAGCAGGTAGTCAGCCACGTATGACTCATTCTAACATGAAGGATAATGATACACCAAACATATCTATATCTCCACAATCAAAAGAAATAAAATTAAATGATGCCAACTCTAAAGGTAATAAAGGTTATGATGATTTTTTTAAGCAGCCTTCTCTATCACAAGTAAGGGAAATCCCTATCATAACTACCAATACAATCAAGCATCACAAGAATGCTTGTGATTCTCTTGAAGGCTATAATAGTAATGTTCAAAAAGACTATTACAATGATGATGCTTGGAATGATCAGATGGACAAAGGTGCAAAAAGTTTTGGTAAATTAGATTTTTCGAATAAAGATGAGCCTCAACCCTTAGGACATAATCAAAGAAAACATAAAACAGGAATTTATAGAGATATCAAAATAGATGATGCCAAAAATGACGGTTTCAAACGAACTGGAACTCCACATAATTTTTTTGACCCTAAACAAACTCCCACCCATACTTGGACCCCACCTGAAAAAAATCAGCCCTCATCCTACAAAGAAACAAACATTCAACCTAAGCCAAATGCTACATTGAATTCCACTCATATTAATAAAATCAATAAGGATACTGATAACAAAGCCACTGGTAAAATGATTAATCAAAACAAAGAAGTTGATCAAAATAACAACATTTCTACAAAAAATGAAAGTGAATTAGAACCTGCATCCGAATTCAATGAAGAAGACATCACAGAAGGCCATGATTTAACTCCTGCCAAAAAAATTGAAGGGCCTGAGGACATAGTAGCTCGTATCAATAGTAGACTTGACGAGGAACTTCTACCTGCTGTTAAATTTTTTCCCACTAAAGCAGGCCGTACAAGCAAAGAGTTTCTTTATCTTGATGATGCCTTAACTCGTTGCCTCCTGAAATTAGATGCTATAGATTCTGCTGGTGATACACATATAAGGAACCTAAGACGTGAGGCTGTACATAGGGTCAATGATTGCGTTAATTTATTGGAATCCAAGATTAATGCAGGCAAGGTACATTCAACTTCTAGTAAGAGCATTGATGAAACTACTAAAATTTCTGATTCCAATGGGGATTCATGGCAAGCTGACAATGAAGACATTAAACAGGTGACTGATAAAGATTCATCAGATGGTAAAGGCAGTAAGGGCAAAAATAATTCCAGTGGCCAAAGGAACACTGATCATACCACTTTTGAAAAAGGTAAAAATAAAGGTAATTATTAGTTAAGTTTATCGTTTTACACCATTAGTGCTGTATGACACTAATAAGAAACACACATTACTTGTTACATTTGAAAAAATTGCTCTAACATTACTCGCTACCTTGTGAAAAAAGGAATGTTACTTGTTTGCTACTCAAACTCTTTACTTAAAAAAATACTAAAAATATATAGATTTTCTTTTTATTTTTATTCCCCATAGATATTAAAAACAAAATTATACAAAAATAATATATTAAAATAGAAAAATAAATTACCAAAAAATAATAAATTAGGTATTAATAAATGTGAGACCGGCTTATTTGCATTGCTATATGGAACCATGAATAGCAATGCAATTACCTTGATGAATAACCATCGTAATGGCTTGTTCAAAATAGAAGGCTTCATATGATCAATTATTTGACTTAGTTTCCTCTCTAATAAAGGATAAATTTAAGAAATTTCTCACCAAAAATACCAATTTGTGACAAGTAGGATAAAAATTACTTTATATCTGAATTTTAATTTTTTTACAAGGTTTCTTCTGAACTATTGGCTGAGGCTTTTCTGTTGGATTGTGCCAAAAAATTGATGCATGTATAATCAAGCTCTAGAATACCAGAAAACCAAGGTATTAGGTTGATATTGTGTTAATAAAAAGCCCAATTCGAGTCAATTTTTAAAAACGATTAATTAAAATCTTAGCCATAATAACATTATTCAAGTTTCAAGATTTGGTAAAATAGAGGTCTAAACTTTCTGCATCTATGATCAATAGGACTCTAGAGTATTTTTGGATACACCCCTTTTAGAAGCTTTTGAGGTTGATTTATTGATGTTTGCATACTATGAGAGGAAGTCATTTGAACATTAGGACAGTATTCTTTGGAAGACAATTAATACATTTGGAAGGAAGCGAAATCTTGCAACTGAGACAAAGCAAAATCGCTATACAAAGTTCCTCATAAGTGAGAAGGCTGAGATTTTTACTTGAAATAGCTGACAGCCATTTGGAGCCTGACTTAGAATTTATAATAGCTTGGCTGGCACATTGTTCTATGAATCACTCGGTAAGAGGAAAACAATATAGTGAGACACTAGGAGAATATCCCAAGCTTTCTAAAGGGTTGATGTGGGTCTGCTAATACCAGGTGGACAATTGCTCATCCAAGCCTGAATAGCCCTTTCTAGGTCAAGATCATAACTAGTAGATGTTAATTTGACTTCTTAATCTTGAGGAGATAAAAGTAGCAAGAGAGAGGAGAGATGGGAATGACCAACCCACAATTTTTGCATACGATTTATCTGAAGATTTTATATTTATGATAGCCTCAAGTATTGTGAGGATATGCTACTCATGTTTGAACAAGATTGTAATGAAAGATTGAAGCTGATCTCATGGCATATATGATCTTGGATATCTTAAAAAAAATTTAATTAGAGAGAACACCTGATAGGCTGATAATTCAATTAAAATTGATTGTATTTCTACTAAATTAGAACTTTTTTTAAAATAGGTCATAATTGCAGTGCCACCACAAATAGAACCAAGATGAATAAGTTCTCAGATGGATATATTTGAAACAAAGGATTAGGACAATAGAATTGGTGAGCCGACAATTTTAAGAAAGGAATTAGGATTATTAATAATGTCAGGAATGATGTTTATTGAAGAGATGTCATCGGATATGAAGCCTTAATATAAATACCAGGGGTTTAATAAAGACTTTAAAGCTTGAATTGAATCTATAAATGTTTGAACATCAAGACAGATCAAATTCTTTTTGTAATAATTTGTTTATTTTGGAAAATGCTTTTCAAAATTTTGATCAGGTACGAGAGCAATCTCAACTCAGGTTTTCCAGAACTAAACACGTTCAACAGACAGAGGATGGGAAAGTTGTAATTATATTTAATAAATAAAAATTTTAATTGGGAGAATTTATTAAAAATATTTAAACAATGATCTTTATTTTCAAAACCACTTATAAGATCATCTTCGCAAGAATCTTCATTCTGACCATCATCAAAATCTTTCATATTTGTCATAAAGCAATTATCATATTTTATGACCAAATTACATGATTGCTTACGAAGATATTCCTTTGGACTTAGCCCTAAAATATTTAAAAAATTGGAAACTGATTCATGCTAAATAAAATAATTAAATTATAAAGAACCAAGTTGAAGTTTTTTTTATTAAACAAACTCGTTCCGATTTTTTTTATTATAAATTTTTATAATTTAAAGTTTTGCTTTATATTACATTCTTTATACATAGATAACTACGATACGCCTCCGGAATCCGCCGAAAATTGAAGCGAATCAACAAATAATCTACCTCTAAATGTTTTTATTTTAAGAACTGGGCATACCACCTTTTTTACATAATATTTCCTATCTCTCTCTTTCTCAAAAAGATTGCTTTTTATATAACATAATTTAATTTAAATTTGGCGCTCTTGACACTTGGTACAATAATATAACCCTGTGGATAATTTATTACAAATATTATTTCACATGATATTTTATCATTATTATAAATTATATTTAATTAAAATATATGACAGCAGAAAAAATATTTAAAAAAAATTATATTTTTAATATTAATATTAACGTACAAACGACAGTTTATTTTTAATTAATAGAATTTAGATATATTTTTTTAAAAGATCATTACATTTTTCTAGTCCTTTTATTGCCTATGTTACAAATTTTATAGTTATACTTATTAATATCTAATTGAATCATAAAAATTACCAAAATTATTATATTTATTTATTATTTATAGAAGTAATTATTAATAAATTAATGTTGATTTCCTCATTATGACCTTAAAAATAAATCACTCAACTATTTTAAAACTTTGTGTGTTTGCTGATTTTATTTGCTAATTCTGATTTTAACTTGAATCTTATCTAACCTTAATCGTGATTTGTTCAGTCCAGCAAGTTTTTTTTAAAAATTTGGAGTTAAACTTTGTTCAAATTAATCTAAGATCATGATCTTATTCTTAGGTTTTTTTTAAAAATTGCTCTCCTTATAAGAATTATGGAATGGAATATAAGTTCAAATCCTATACGCAAAGGACAAATTATTCTCGTGAAACTTCAAATAAAGTTTGAAAGTCAGTTACTTTTTAATAACGATACCAATGATTTATGAAAAAATTATTTATAGGACCTAGATATATTTGAATTAACCGTGTAACCCGGAACTAGACTTACATTTGGATGTCCTAATATGATGGTGTAAAAATTTTAAAAAATATCAGTCACCCTAATCTAACACTTCAGTTCATACTTAAGTTCAATTAAAAATAACGGTTCAGGTTCGCTTCGTGTAAAATAAAATCAGTTTGGTTTAAACTTTTAAAACCCGTTGTGAACCTTTTCATATAACGATTTTGAATTAAAGACACCCTATTTGAAAAGAATTAATTATATTTATTTTTTCGGTACAAAGCAAATACGTGGCTGCTAAACCGACGACTGTTTAGAAATAAGATGAATCAAGACATCTCCTAAAGTTTTTGACGTGGACTCGAGCAAAAGTTTAGGTCAAATAAGGATAGGTTTAGTATATTACCGAAACTAGTTATACACTACACTACAGTTAGTATATTAGATGGATAATGTTAGATATTACTGAAGCTATAGGTTGTGCAGGCTAGGATTAATCCAGAGCGAATACCAGACGAATGTTAAATTAGAAGAGAAATCCATGTTTTTTATATTTAGATTATATTATGATAAACATATTTAAAGATAATTAAATCAAAGATAGATTTTCTAGAATCCCATTTGAATGTATGTAGGGATGAGCAGGAGAACAAAAAACCAGTTTTTTTTTAAAAAAAATAAATAATTTTTTAACTATTACAATCCTTATATAGAAAATATAAAGTAATTATTTGGTGCGAATTTTTTTTATCACAATCATCTTGTCTTGTAATATCAAAATGAAAACTCTGGTGAAGTTATTTTTTTGTATAATAAACTATAAAAATCGTTTTAATACAGAATTAAAGGGAATATTATTATTTCTGCCCTATTTATATTTATTCTATTTGTTGATTGATATTAAAATTAATTCACAGATATAAACTCTAATTTTATAAAAATAGATAGAATCAATTTTTATAAAATAGTCATGATTTTTGCTAACCCTAAATTTATGCGATTTTTTATTCCCCTGCAATCATTTATAACTTATGTTGTTTTTCTTACATTTAGATGGCCCGGGTTTGGATACAGGAATAAAATTTGAAAGGACCCAGGTTCGGGTTCAGGAAACATAAAAATAATGACTCAAAATAAGATTTTTTTTATATTCATTTATTATTATACTTCAATATATACATATTCATAATTTACAAATTAAAAATGAAATAATTTATATTTTATATGTTTTATTCTCGCACAATCATAATATCTTCTAAAATATCATACTTGAGATTTCCACCTTAAATATTTTAAAGATGAAAATTTAGGTTCTACCCTTACCTAAAATAGATAGTTATCTTTATAAAATTATTGTACTTGTGTCGCCGGTATAGCCATGAAGATTCTAGATAAGATATATAATTCTGGATGTATTGAATTTTCTTTCCAGATTTTTAAAATATTTATTTATTAGGAATAGTGTTAAACGACTCATGTTGGGCCGATTTTTCAAAATGACTAACTCAATATTTTAGCCAGAAAAATATTGCCTAAGCCTCGAGATTTTGATATTTATGAGCAAAATCTTCAGGCTTGAGTAATATTTTTTCCTGGATGCAATATTGAGTTGCCGTTTAACAACACTAATTAGGATTAGGGCATATAATGTATATGATTGTTTAATAATATTCATTAATATAATATCTTTCCACCTAAATTTTTAATGAGTCCTTATAAATCCACAAAGTAAGTTAAGATATTTTTAACCATAACCTTGATTCACCACCACTTATTGTTCTATTTTCGTTATTTAATATTTCAATTTTTTTTGCCATGGACAAAAAGTTAGTTAGAAATATAACCATAGATGCATCGATATTCACTAATACTTTTAGTTTTCATTAATACCCCATAAATTAATTATGCACCCAAAAATTAAGCATAAAATAATTCATCTTCAAATTAAAAAAGAAGGTACTATAAATTATGTACTCCTATTTTTTTATAAATCATAAATAAAATGGCTATTGATGCATTTATATCTTTTTATAAAAAAATAAATATAAATTGAATAATTTCTTGCCATTTAAATATTGGCCAATATCGTGTTGGTAATCGACTAAAAATTCTATCAGCGATATTTATTTTAGGAACTTTCTCAAAACCAGAATAGAACAAGAGCACAAAAAGTCCTGTTCCATGGTTCAGTTTCCCTTTTTTTGACAAATTCAAGAAAATATGTTTTATAATATCAGATATGATTAAGTCTAAATTAATTATTTATTACTTTGGCCTAAAATCAAAAATATCATTTATTATAATTTTTGTCTAAAATTAAGGTTATATAAAAAACGAATTATTTTTTTATGCTATTGCCAAAATTTTTTTAAGTGGCCTTTAAAATAAATTTTTGGTGATTCATATTCTTTACGAAAAATTTCAATTACTCATATTTAAATCAAAATTTATTTTATTAATCAATTTTCGATTAGTCAAATCAAGTAAAAAAATGCAGTTTGCTTGTTTAGTTTTGTTTGAACAGCTTTTAAAGTAGATAAATATTTGGTTTATTTTACCTGTGTACTTTAGACTGGATTTATAGTAAATATTACATCAACGCTGATGATTTAGAAGTTTGTCGATTTTTTGCTTAATAAACATGAATGATATCCATAATTCCAACAATTATATCTTCAGTGAAGATTTTTTTAATCAAATTTTACCTAATGCCAAATATTTTTTAAATTTTAATGTACAAAAAATCTTTCAGGAGATTAATTTCAATTGCCTGTGATCTTTTTTGAAAATTCCCACAATTGATAATTTGTCTTGTTAAATAAATAAAAAGAAATTAGTATATTTTTTTCATGGCTTAGTTGCAACTCTACAATAAATATAATTTTATTAATAAATTCATCCATAAAATTTTCTTCATAATTTAATTATAAATTTGCAATAAGATAAAAATATACATGCGATATAATAAAATAATATGAAATTGAATTTGTTCCTAATCTTAAAGTTAATAACTATAATAATAAAGTTTTATTAAAAAAAATTTAAAAATACACATAATATCATGTAAAAATTAATATTGAAGGTTTACTAAAATTCGATTTAAAAAAAAATTACAATATATTTGGTCTTAAATAATATTAACAATATTTAATACTGTAAGGAATCGTAAGCCTAACTTGATTACATTAATTGGATATCGATTAGAAATATTATAAACAATATAGAAGAGATAATAAATAAATTTACCTACCTATCAATTGCTTTAAAAAAATATTTATCCAAAAAAGGCATAATTAAAAAGTTAATATTTTATTAATTTTTTAAAAATTAAAAACCGTTAGTCAAATTTTCGTTTCATCTTTTAAAATCTTTAAGAATGTTGCCACGAGATAAAGACTGCCCGTGACATAAACGTGGGTTTCTTTTGAAGGGTTTTGGATAGATTCCATAGCCTTTTTGACACAATCAACTATGATAGGTGTAGCATTGGTATGGGAATATATTTTATCCATAGGATTAAAGACAGTTTTTTTATTCATCAGATCGTCAAATTCCGACATTTCCTCGTCAGTGGAAGAATAAAAATTGGATGAATCATCCAGGTATCCATTTGATTCAGACCTGAAAAAAGAAAAATATAATATTTATTAAATATATTTTCAAATTATATAATAAAATCTAATTTAATTTTAATCATGATTACAAAAATGTATTAGAGATAGATAGGGAAATGGTCCCCCATATATCTATAATAAAATTTTTAAAATGATTAATTTATTCTTATATTAATATCCACAAAATTTATCTAAATAGCTAAGGTTTCGATAATATGACTCCTCAGCCCAATCCAAAATTTTGTAAAAATATCAAAACTGCACAGGTCAACATTTTAAGTCCAGTCCATGTTGTTAAACAGCTCAATTTTTTAAAATGCATAACAAAATATTTTAGCTAAAAATATTACGCAAGCCTGGAGATTTTTCTTATAGATGGTAGAATGGTTTGGACAAACAAAATCTCGAGGCTTGATTAATATTTTTTGGTTAAAATGGGTTAGCCACTTTTAAAAATCGAGCGGTTCAACAACACTACCCAGATTTGAAAAATGTTAGTTTAAGTCAAGCCCGAAATTTTTTGGCCCAACCCAGTTTATTAGAAATTTAGATATTTTGGCTGCTTTTTGAAAATTATTTCATGGGAAAGGGGAAAGTAAAAACAAGAGCAGTGATAGAATATTAAACGCATTATTACATGATTTTCTAACTGATTCATTTGATATAGCTAAAAAAAATTTTTATTGACTCAGCCTGAATTTTTAATTTTTTAAAATCTATAGGTCTAGGTTTAAAGTCATATTATTTCTTCGGCCCATTATGTGTCAAGTTTCAAGCCTGCAGGTCTCAGATAAATATAAGGCAGTATAGTTGGTAACTTTTCAAAAAAAATTGTTGTCATTTTCTGTTTTAAGTAAGTAAATAAAGATTTCTTAAAAAATCGATATTAAAATTCATTTAAGCTATAATAATTTTGAGTTTAATTAACTTGTATGAAAATAAATGATGAATATTCTAAATTTTTTAAATAGACTTCAAGTAAGCGGAGTTAGGAAGTAAAATTTAATCTGGAGTTCAGGGCACGCAAAATTTTTTAAAAATTTTTTATGGATGCGATTATCAGAATAATATTCCAGCATTCGGACAATTTTGTCTGAAATCTTGCAGGTAGGTATTAATATACTACACATGCTAAAGTACTAGAAAAAAATTAAGGTTTTAAAAAAATCAAAAAAAGTGTCCTTAAATGATAAGATTCCAGTATTCCAGTATACCCTAAGTTTACAAATAACACTATCGTTTATTTTGAAAAAAATCTGAAAGTTGGGTTAAATTTTTAGTTGATTTAATATGGAATATATATTTATCCCTTTTGATGGTTCCGTTTTCCTTTTATGGAGAATATTTATTTTACCAATCCGAATGTTTAGGGCTCTATTCGTAACGATGAGTAAAAAAAATCTTACTTCTTGATATGCTTCCCGCCAAACCCATTCATCAAAATATCATGGTTTTTTTTATGGTTTCGATCAAAATCTAAGGTCTCTAACGCTACCCACAATCGTTTGTTGTTGGCGCATATATCCAACTGATCCTGGAAGCTCGACATGCTGTTAAGAGTTTCTAAGGTCGAAATTTGGATACACGATATATTTTTTAAAAAATTAATAATTTTGAAATATAAATAAATTAGCAGGTGAGCAGGAGAATGAAGAAGAATATGAGGAGTTAGGTGGCGAATGAGGTAGGATGTAGTAAATCGCTTGAAAAAATGTTACATTTCTTTTTGATAGTCATGGAATTAGAAACATTTTAAATTGGTGTGCCAACAGAGGAAAAATGATTAGAACAATCATGGAAACTATGGAATGGTGAAAATGTCAGGATGTATGTTTGGAAAAGAAGTTAAGACTTTAAAAAAATAGTAGTATGTCCAATAAGATAAATGAAGGTAATCATGGGAAAAAAATATATAAATTGATACTGGCGAGTTAGCTTTTAATATTCTAAAACAACCCTAGTTATCAGCATTGACTTTGCGTGTTTAGATGGGAGATGCGAAAGAATACATTTTTTAATATATTCAAGAAACATTATTGTGATCAAAAATTAATATTCAAGATTAAATATTGAAAAAATTAAATTTTTTTAAAAAAGCGAAAAATAAATTTAAAAAAACAACCTTTTTTAGTAAGGGAATTGTCCTCGATACTCGGACTAAATACGACTCTGGTAAAAGGAAAATTCTGATCAGGAAGAAAAAAATAAATATTTTTTTAAAAATAATTATAGTTTACGCTAAAAGATTTTTAAATACCAATAAAGGTTTCAATAAAACAGCTGCATCCCGATCTTCCGTGCAATTGAATACTAAAACGAAGGCAGGATCACTTAAAACAATAAAAATATTTTTATAAAATTATAGAAAATAGTCAAGAATAAAGAATGTAGTTTATGATATTAAGATCTAAATGTATCTTATGAACAATCAAATGATATTATAACCCGAATAATATCACTATCATTTTTAATATAAAATAATTTTATAATTACCGATCATGTTTGCTAAATGTGGATGACATTTTCTGGAACCATTTCAACGAATACTTTAAAATAAAATATAAAAATTAGCATTTAACATTGAGTGGAAAACCCAATAATAATCAAGGAAGGATAAAAAAGTATAAAAAAATACAAGATACAAATTAATTAAGGGTTTAATTTCAAGTATTAAAAAGGGTGACAAAGTAATATTATAAAACTGGCAAATTTAAATATACTTTTAAACAGAGTTCGAAAAAAACCTTCAAAAAATTTTTGAGCAAAATTATTGGAGATTTTTTTTGTTTCAAAAAACAGAGATTTTAGATAAAATTTAACCTAAAGCTTCAAAAATCTGACATAAGTAAATCTTTCATATTTTTCATGCATATAAATTTTAATTTTTTTTTCAAAACTCTGCTTTTAAAGTAATGAAAAGGAAAGGGATTCAATCCAAACTTCCGCAAAATAAATGCGTTTTTTTATTACTTTAATACTGCTTAACGTATGGGCACCGTCTAAATAAAATCGCGTGTTGCCACGTTTGATTATTTGACTCCTACCATCCAGATAGCAGTCCTCAAGGGCTGATTAAGTAATATTGTTATTAGATGTTTACGAAAAAAAATGGTATAGAATTAATGAAAATACTATAAAAATATTTTAAAAAAATAAAGGCAAAAAGTAGAATTTAAAATATAGACTATGTATAAGCTCTTTTTCTTTTTAAAAATTCGAAAAATTTCCCCGAATAGAAATGTGATTTTTAGGCTAAAAATATGAAAGTATCTTCTTTCAAAATTTATATGAAAAAAACATGTCTAATAATAAAAATTAAGACAAAATAGGAAGTAGAATAATTAATAAGGGAACATTTAAGATAAAAAAATTTTATAATTTTAAAAATACCGGATTTATATTCAGCACTTAAGGGGAAGATAGGTCCCAGGACAGGAATATCATCTACATCTACCTTATCATCTTCAATATCATTTTTTTAATATTTAAAAAAAAATGAACATATAAAACTTGAGATCATTTAATTTTAAATATTTTAAGCATAAAAAATAGCAACCATATATCAGAACTCTGGCTTAATTTATAACCGAAATTCATTTTTGGGATAAAAATCTCTCTATCATATTCTCAGTTTATAAAATGCTTCTTATTTATATTCTCCATTCACGAATTTATAGCATTTTAGATAACTTAATAAAAAAAAATTGGGAAAAATGTTGTCACAGCAATGATCTCAGCTAAAATCACATTAAGATAACTCAGACTACCTTCAGAATGATAAGTTCCATTAGCTTTAGCTTCGGCTTCCTCTTGCTCGTAATTGGGAAATTCGTTATGGTTAAATTCTGACACATTACTAATCCTAAGTCCATTGACGTGGTAACCATTGGATAAATGCAGGCCATTCTTTTTATCGATTTCTTCATTTTAAAAAGGAAAAGGGTTTCACACAAGCATTCAATTCGAAAAACAGTTATTAGAACCCAAATCGAACTACTAAAAATTTTGTCATCTGAAACATCTAACAATGTCGGTGAATCAGTGTGTTAAAGGTTATTTTATTATCAATCAATTTTTATGAAAGGGCTACACCCAAACAAATAACATTCCCACGAACCTTATTTTACATGAACTTAAACAAACTGACATTCGTTAAGGTTCAGATTCCTGGTTCCACGTAAAGGTAACAAATTTTGTGCATCATGGAGTAGGTAGAAATATATTTCATAGATATAAAAAAATTACAAAAAGAATATTCAAAAAATGAATATGTGATAATCGATCTCTAACATTTTACTTTGTAAGAATGTATGAGCCAATTGAATGGCCAAGGAAGCGTTAATCCTATATACTGCGCCTTTAAGACGCAACTTTATCTTTTCGGAGGCGGGAAATTGGTCGTAGTTGTGTAAGGGAGGGCAGATCTTGAGTTCACTCTTTGAATTTTATTATAGGGTTTATGTTTTTTTGTTATATAACATCTGATGCAATAAAAAAAAATTATCATTGTTTAGAAAGGTCGTATTCTTTATACAAAATATAGCCCATAAAATATAACGGAAATATGCCAATACTAATGTTGTAAACGAACACGTTATTTGAACACGTTCGTGAACGAAGTTTATTTTTTTTGAAAAAATGTGATTAATTCGAATGCGTTCTTTTAATTTTAAAAATCTTTTTATTTTTATTCATTCGAACATAAAAAATATTAATCTAAATTTTTTAAGAAAATGGGGTTATTTTTTAATCAGCTGTTTCCTTTATTACATTTGAATTTTTTTAACCAGCCACTATTTCTGTTCTATAGTAATTCGAATATTATTTATATTCTATAGATTGGTGTGAGATATAAAGAGATACTTGCTTGTAATATTTATTATTTTATATTATATAACAATAAGTAATCCTGTCCTAATAGGACAAGTTAGAAAGTAGAATTATATTTAGCATTATAGAATATCATTATAAATATTTGCGTTTTTGTTGTAGCAATATTATTAGTAGATGTAGTGTTTATTATTATTATTAGTGTTGTTTATTGTTTTTGGTATTATTGTAAAAAACAATATTCTTGTAAAAATTAATACTTATTTGAAAAAATCAAAAATATAAAGTGTGAATGATGTAATTTTTCATTATTATTATATTTTTAGATTTCTTTATTATTTTTTTAAAAAACTTGTTACTCAAAATTTTTAAGAGCGAATAAAATAAAAGAAAAAAATAGTCTTATATATTTTGAATATATATTGAATTCAGTTGTAATAATTTTCCACCTTTTTTCTTTTTTATAAATGGATATATTTTATATCTGATTTATAATTGAGATTGTTATATTTCATAGGCATATTAAATTATTTATAATAGATACACAAAGTAAAAATCACTAAATATTATATACATCCATATAAAATAGTTAATATCTTCTAGAATTTATTTGAAATTTTCTAATTATTATTAAGTTTTTACCAAAAATTTTATATTTTAATAATTGAACACAATTCAAAGTATAATAAATTTAAATATTTTATATGATATATAAAAGATTTTATATATTAAAAAATAAATAAATACTTTTTTAATAAATAAAATAATATTTTTATTCACTTAAAACTATGTCTAATATATTTACTTAAAAAAAATATGGTATTTATTTATATTAAATAAAATTTTTAAAATATCTATTCATAAAGTTTCCTTCTTTTTTTGAAGGGAACATTAAACGTGAACGTTTCGATTTTTTTAGAAATATTTAAAAGACTAGACAATACAGATCGATCCTTTCAATTAATACCAGTGGCTGATACTAAAAAATGATAACTAACTCTCATAAATAAATTACAGATATGAAAAAAAGTAAGGGCGAAAAAGCCCCAATCAAAAAAGAAAAATCTTTTTTAAAATAATTTTCAATTCTTCTTAAATTTTTAATATCTTTTATTTTTAATATTTATTTTATTTATAACTTTTTGCAATCTCTTTAAGTCATTTTTAAACTTTTTATCTTAATCTTTTCACAAAGGTGAAGAAAAAGAGCTAAAATATAAAAAAAATTTCTATCTTAGTCATAGTTAGTTATTTGAAAATATTTAGATTAACTTGATGTGGAATATGATATAAATTTAAAATATTATATTAACCCTGTTATCGTGAGCTCTTCGCATCAAGACTTTCATAGCATCGGGAGGCTGCATAACCGTGAAAACTGGAACTTTCGGCTAATATATTAATATAATAAGATTTATACCCAAGTTAATAGTATAAAGTCTTGTAAAAAACATACTCTTTTATTTTGCCTTTGAAATTAATAGATTATAATACAGTACAAATATTTTTTAAATGATTAACTTTAATATAATTTTTTTTAAGAATATAGATTTTTAAGCAACAATATAAATATTACTTTTCATATATTTCTGGTAAAAAAATTAAAATCTTTTGATAATAAATTTATCTAATCCAAATTTATTTCAAAGGGAATATAGAAAACCAATTTACAAAATAAATAATTTTACATAACTAAAATGAATATATCCACTGCTGGTTTAAATATATATTAGGCCACATATTAGAGATAAACAAATAAAGAGAACTATGTAAAAATAATGTTATTTACTATATTATATAAAAAACTGGTGTTCGAAAACAAAATTTAAAATATAAAGAAATGTAAAAACTTTAATAATTCCAGCCTTGTGCCATGCTATCTTCGAATGGGTATCTCCCAAAACTATAACGTGATCTATACCAATAGAAGTTATTCCACAAACAATCGGCTTTCTAAAATTTATACAAATAAGTAATTAGTTTAATATTCTATTTTAAGAGAACTAATCAATTAATGGCTCATATTTTAAAAAAAATATCACTATGTATATATTATAGCTCTACACTACCCACATTCAGCCTTTCTTACAATTAATTATAAAGATTTCAGGAAATGTATATATATTTATTTACACAAGGATCACATATTATTACAGATAGAATAAAATATAGATATAAAAACATTAGTAATAGTATGAAAATAGCTGATAGTTATGATGATATTACCTATGACCAACTGAAGAATATATTTATATTATATAAATTTATTTTATTGTATTATTGAGACTTTTAAATCAAATTTGTGACGTGGAATACTAATTTATATAGTTAATAAAATAGTTCAGATTTTCAATCCTAATAGCTTTGATCTTTGTAAAAGGTAACGACTGAATTTAAAATTTTGTATTGCACAAATCCAAAAAAAATAGGTGTAGTGCTATTTGCATAGTCAGTCCAGCATCCAATAATTTGGGGTTTCCTATTTTTTTTTGATTTAGTGCATTTTATTATGTAAATAATGGCTGTTATAAAATTAAATATATTTTTACGAAAAAATATTAAACTTTTTTAATCTGGATGAGGCAAGTCATGCGTATATGCCATCTTTTTTTTTATTGAGGTCAATAAAGTGCACAGAAGGGAATGTATAATTTTTCATAATTGTTCCAAACTGGTCCAGGGCCGTATTTCAAAATTATTATAAATTCAATCATATATATATATATATACACCTTTTACAAAAGGTGTATACATCTTTTACAAAAGGTGAGGAATTAGGATTTAAAAACGGAATATTATTTATCGATAACCACGTAAATGGATTAAAGCCTTGATAATAAAAGAATGTAACTGTAAACCAACCCATATCATTTTGTTTAATATAAATGTCACGATATAATTTTTGTCAAGTTTGATAATGCGAGGAAAAGGTTAAATAAGAAATATTCGGATTAATATGATATATAACTTCGAAAGTGAAAAAAAACCTGACAATATTGGTGGAATCATATTGACCGCCAATACCAACTTCGAATATTGCCACATCAACCTGTAATTTGTTAGATATAGATAATAAATATAAAATAAAAGTTAAAATGATTGACGGGGATCCAAACAGAGCCTGAACCTTTAAACCGGTATTTATTATTAAACCTCAACCATGAAATCATTTTCTATTCGAGCCCGAACCCTTAACCGTTATTTATTATTGAATCTGAACCGTAAAATCATTTTCCATTTGAGCCTGAACTGAATCTCTAAATATGTTTGTATACCAGGTTGAACTTCGAATCATGTGAAATTTGTTATCAGTATTGAGAAAATCATTCCAATTGTTTTAAAAATTATTATCATTCAATATTGATTGATAAGTATTAGCCACAATTTTTATAAATTTTTGATATTGTTATTTTATAAGATTTTAAATAATTTCCCTTTAATATATATAGATTTTTTAAAAGCTCATTAATAACAATGATGTGATTAAACACTTGTATTGGTTATTCATGAATTAAATGTATTTATAGGTGTACATTTATAAGAGTCACCTGTAGCGACATTTAATGGTTTGTAAATCGATTAAATGACATTAATATAATGATAGATAATGCAAAGTGGGCACACAAATCCTAAATGGAGATAAGCCAACTCCTATGGATGTATAGTTTTAATGATCTAGTATATTATATTATACCATTGATTAATGCCTAGGGATAAATTAAATCCAATATATAAATTATGTAAAGCTACAGATTGCGAATTATGAAAGGGCATAATGGTGTAAATATTGAGAGTCAAATCATCCTCTAAAATTAATAAAATAACAACACAATCCAAAGAAATTTAAAAAAAGGATGTCATCAAACCGACACTTTTGAAGAAACATTTAAAGAATAAACATGATCATAAATCTAAAAGATCAGAGAATAAAAGATATTTTAGTTATATTTACTAAGGAACCTCATATAAATAAAATATCTTAGATTATTGGCAAAACCAGAGTATTCGATACCACGAATTTTATAAATTTAAATTGTCTGATACTATATTAGCAGTGCTGGCTACTTAAGTTAGCATAGAGAGATGTTTTTCAAGAACAAAATTTATACTTTCCCTATATAGAGAAGTACTATTTTTTTAAGTAAATAATGTTGAATATTGAAGTTAATAATTCATATTTATTTGTTATAATTTATAAATTAGATATTATTTATAATATGCAATAATAAAATAAATGTTATATATATTTATTGATGAAATAAAAAAAGCTTCTAATGAAAGTTTATAAGAGTTCAAACCGTTTTTTAAAAGCGAGCACCAAACCGATATTAAGCATCAACTATGAACTCCTATTTTTATCTGAGCCTGAACAGACTATATATTTTAGACTAATTATTTCATAGAAAGCTCTAATAAAGGTCTAATTAATATATCACTAAAAGAATTGTTGAAAATATCGCCAAATTTATTTAGAAAATTTGCCGAGGTTAAAATTTTTTTGCCCTTCCCTAGGGAACTTAATGAATAGTTTTTTTGTTCGCTTCATTTTAGGGGGGGGGGGGTAATATATTATATAATACATTTTTACTTTCTCTTGCATGAAAACGGAAAAGGCCATACACGTCAAGAACTGGAAGAAAGAAGGCACCAATCCATTATTGATATTCTTAGATTAAAAAATTAGAATTTTGGATTTAAAACTATTTGGTTATAGGTTGCTAACATTAAAAACACATTTGTAAAAAATTGTGATATTATTTTATTATCGTACCATACTAATTTTGCTCTCCTATTTTTTTAATATTAAGGATTTATCCGAAAATAAAAAATATCGAAATATATAAAATATTATATCTTAATTTGAAAAAAAAACTTAAATCAACAATAGTCTAAAATCCCCTTATCAACAAATAAAAATAAGTTAAAACCCAGAATAATATTAGAATTAAGGAATAAATCAGGTGAATGAGAACCCTTTTTTCCTCTAATTTTGAATCCCAATTGTTTAGAGAAATTTTGATGAAATATGCAAATTATCAATGTAGGAGTGTGATATAACCTCGCTGTTCCTCAGGCGTTCGTATATGGGCCAAAAGTAAGTGCAAAATTTGTCGGCGCTCAGTGGCTGCCCATTTATTTTAATGCGTTCGGAGACAGTGAGCATGTGAGGAGACCTAAGATAATTCAAAATTATATAGATAATAATTTTAAATTTATAGGATAAAATCTTCCTTATTTACTTCATCTCTCACATTCTAATTTGAGCTCAGTGGAGATTTTTTTAAACCGAATAAATTTACGTTTAAATATCGATTTCTTTGAATTGAACCAAACCCCCAACATTTTATCCGGGCTTAGTGTTCCATTCTGCAAAATGTTCTAAAAAGTTCAACTTTTCAATAAAACGTAATAAGGCCTACATTCGTTGCTGTGCTGAGGTGTTTGGAAAATCATGGCATGTATTAAAGCAATTTTTTTGTTTGGCAAATCATTCATATTTTTTACATATCAAACTAATCCACATGTTTTGAAAATTTTATTTTGACAGAAAAAATATTAAACTATGCCCTGCAAAAAGCTTTCATCGGTATTCTACCATTCATTATTTGTGTAACAATGTTAGAACCTATAACATCAACGATAAAATATTTATTCTGTGGCAGGGCTGAAACTAAAATAGTTTTTCTTGGGAAGGCACGGGGTGGGACTTAAATATTGTATATTTTGATCAGAAAATATATATCGATCATATTCCACAGGAAATTGCATATTTCGATTAATTTTCGTCATTTTTTGGCGATTAAACAGATTAAAAATGAATTTTACAATAAATAAAAATATTCAATATATCATAAAAAGTATGAACAATTGGTAAATATATGGCAATTAAATTATATTAATAAAAATTTAAGTAATACAAGAATAATTACGTAAAAAGCCCCGTTTTGAATCCATGGTTCCTCAAGATTCTCTCGGTAAAAGCACAGGTGGTCCCTTTGCCTTTGGTCCCACTAACATGTATTATCGGCAAAGCATCGATATCCTCCATCTATTATTAAATATAAATATAAACCACTTTCTTAAAAGGGTAAATAATTTTTCACTGTAACGAGCAACAACCTTAAATATTTTCTAGTAAAAATAAATTTTATTATATGTTAGCGATAAATGTATTATTTTTACAACTAAGTCATTCTTTTGAGCGTATTTTTAAAATTTGAAATATGAGTTAATGTATTTCTGCATATTTAGAATACCCTCCCTATAAATTTCAGAAGATTTTGTGAGTCATTTATAATTTATATAAAAAATATATGAAAAAAATAAATTGTATTCATAGCAAAATTTTCTTAAAATAACAGAGTATACATATAAAGTAACGGCGTTACTCGTTACATTTCAAAAAAGGTAACGGATTTTTACTTTAAAAATGAAAGAATATGATAATTTAACAAACATGATATCAGCTGACATGGATATGTTTTTTTTTAATATTTATATTCCAACTATATCATGCAACTATGGTTCGTATTTTTGTCTTATAACCGAATATTTGAAAAAAAAAATTATGTTCCCCTTTTCTATTTCTCCACCTTAGTGAAAGTCGATCAAATTTAGAATTCGAGTAAAAACATTTAATTATCTTTTTTTTACAATTTTTTATAGGCAATTTCAATAAGGGGGAGAGACCTTTGTATTGTGGTAAAAACAAATTTTTTCTTTATATTAGGTATAAAATTCAAACATTTTTATAAAATATGGGTTTATTAAGAGAAAAATCTTTAGCGAAAGTTAAATTTTAAATAAGGTTAAAGCTTAAAAATAAGCTAGCCAATTATAATTTTCAACGAACCCATTTTTTAACATTTAGAAGAGGGGTGGGTATGACGCAATGGAAATGGATTCTTAGGTAGTAGTAGATGGCATTGTAGTTGGGTTTTAAGAGTGAATCAGAATCGGCAAAAATGTTTGGAATCGAGAATTGTACGAGCATCAATAAACAGGGTTATGTCAGAATAAAAAAGTACCGATAGCATAGATGTTTTCAACACTTAGAAAGATATTCAAGCTTAAATCTTTCCAATTTTGAAATGTTTTTAAATTTTTTTATAGAGCTTAGAAAATCAGGACTGTCTAATGTTGCTAAAAAAAGTCGTCTGAATACAATTTCTTGGACGAGGTTAGTAGTATGGCGAAAAAACGCCGCCAGTTAGTGTGTATTATGGTTTTATAGAGGTGAATTATTAGGAGTTTTACTCAAATACATGTGACCTGACAAATATGACAAATTAAGTGATATCTGATAGGTAACAGCCGTCAATTAATGTATTTTTTTAGTATCCTCCTATCATGATTATACCTAAAAACTTATCATTATTTATGTTCATTTTTGAGAAAAACTATACTTAAATAGCTTAGACCTTTAAAACAGTTAGTAAATTACTTTATAAAACCATTTTATTGTGAGCTCAGAAGGTATAAAAATAGGCTCATAGTTTAATAAGTTAAAATTATTAATGTGTAAATAAACAAACCAGGACAAACCAGGTTTGTTTTAGATTATTTATTAAAAATTGCTGTTATCTAATCGTTCAGAAATAAAAATCAGATATTAAGCATCGGATCGAATGGGCACCTATATTTGGCGGTTTCAAAAAATATCTGCCGATATTTTTTTAATGTTTTGGCTTATTTTATGATTGTAAATATAATTTTTTTTTATTTTAAAATAATTTCGTAATAATAAATTAATGAGTGTAACTAAAATCCAATTTATTTTCTGTAATGTTTAAAAAAAAATTCACTATTTTTTATTATATTATCTGCAACAAGAAAATGATTTTAAAACATCTAACGAGTTACATTCAGTTGGTGTTGTTAAACGGCTGGATTTGGCCAATTTTTAAGGTTTAAAAGTAAATTACTCAAACTTATTTTATTTGCCTATATATGGCAGAAAGGTTTGGACTTCTATTGCCGATATTTCGAGGCTTAGGTAATAATATTTTGATTAAAATTTTGCTTCCGCCCTTTTTAAAAATCAGTGAGCTAAAATTACCGATTACGCAACATTATACCCGATTCGAATGTCGGTTAAGTGTTTTTTTTCCTTCTTTTTCCATTAATTTCTTATGCAAGCTAACTGGATATATAGCAAATATGGGGGAAGGCTTAATGTGGGTTTCTTTTCCAAAAATGGCAAAAAACATATGTCATAAGATGGATATAATATCGTTACTAATAAAAATATATTATATACGAGATTTCAATCTAATATGAGGGCCATTTTTTAAAAAAACCATCTGGTTAACATTATAAGAACTAAATATTTTAATACATAACAACATATATTTAAAATTAATTTTGGAAATAGTATTTTTTAAATGTAAAAAGAATAAAGATTTTGCCCTTTAGACCCAAAATCGAATTCAAACCATATACCGAATTGTTTGAATAAGTGTATTCAACAAATATACTAAGCAGAGTTGTTAACGCTCCTTTTTAAAAGTAGCTAGCTCCCGCTCCAAGTAATGGATTGACACTCCATAGCCATTCCTTTGATTATCATTTTTTAGAAGGTAAACGAAACAAAATCATATTTATTTTTATCAAAAAGCTTTTTTTATATTAAATAATCTATCAAAATATTTATATACTATTATTAGCTTTTAAAAGTAATAAATTTTCTAAATTAGAATCTAACAAACATCCACCCCTCTAACCTAAGATCTCTTTTGCAATACTAAATACAGGGAAATTATCAAAAATAGTAATTTTGGTTAGAGATCTGCAAAAGTAAGCCCGGCCCGTACGGGCTTCGGGCCTAATATTTTTTAAGAAAATTCGTGCTGGGCCGCTTAAATTTTTTTTTTAAAATATAACTAAATTTATCAATTTTATGTTGAATTTTTTATGTAAAATAAAAATATGTTATTTTATTTATAGAAAGAAGACGCCATATAACATATATCCTTTATTTTGAGTAATTATAAGAATTAATTTCTATATTTAAATAAATTGGGGCCAGGCCGCAAAATTTTTTAAAAAATTTCGGGTTCGGGCCGGGCTAAACTTTATAAAAAAAATTTCGGGCCGGGCTTGAAAAAATTAGGGCCCGATGCAGATCACTAATTTTGGTAATATTATTTAAAAAATATTTTTCCAATATTATTCCTGATGATCAATTTCATGGAATCCAAAAAAATCTTCCAAATCATTTTGTATTTAAAAGAAAGTTTTTTTTACTTTTAGATGTTTTTTTATTAAAGTTGCTCACTTTTGAAAATTAAATAGTTTTATTTAAACACAAAAGGCATTTTGCCCTTAAATTTGTTTGATTATTTGGATCAACATCTTTTAGAAGTTTAAAATATTTTTTGTATGATGGAAATGGAAATCCGATTTCTTCATCTATGATCTCTAAATCCATAATATCTAAAACTATTTTTTATTATATATCTATAAAATGAATATTAATATGACTTATAAAATTTTCCAAAAAATTTTCAATATACAAAGGAAAAACTTGATGTTTAATATTTAAAATGATTAGATGAAAAACCAATATAAAACTCGGCTAAACATTTAATAATGGATAAATTAAAATAAAATTTCATTTTTATTGAATTTTAATTAACAATTATTATTAATATTTAAAAAATAATTTAATTTATACATTAAATTTAGAGGAGCGGTGGAGCGGCGCTCCTTTATTCCAGCCCTAAAAGAAGCTAGCTCCCGCTCCTCAATTTTAAAAAGGAGGGCGCTCCAGGTGTTTTTGAAAAAATGTAAAGGCGCTCCTGTAGCGCCGCTCCTTAACTCTGATTCTAAGTAATAAATATAGTTTTTAAAAAAAGATCCATTTATTTTATAATAAGGCATTATAGGGAAAATATCTATATTTTATAGAGAATTGAATTAAAACCAAAAATACCAAATAAAATGAATTATACATAATAAAGGTAGTAAATTCGCCCGTCATTCCCTAGAGGGACAAGTCGTAACAAAGTAGGCCCTCTTGAAAGAAGGCCTATTACATATAGCTTAAATAATCCTATAATAGAGCGTTTCATTTACACTGAAAAGGTGAATTATGTAAAAATTTATAAAGAATAATTAAAAAAATTTACACAAAAAATTTCGATGATCATAAAGTAATTTTTTTATCCACTATTTTTTGGTATGTTGGATAAGTCAATTTAAATGATGTCGACAGATAGTCGATATATTTTAAAAATATGGTTGAACTAATCTGATATTAAAAAATGATACATCGGGAAAAATATGAATTGCAAATAATTGCTTGTCAAATTTATTAATATTTTTTTTTAGCAAAAATGGAAATCTAAAAAAGAAATCCTTTAAGGAAATATTTCATGAGCCTGTACATTTTTAAAATCCAATAAAATTTGGCAAAAAACTGATCATATTTATTTATACTAATTAGTAATTACAGCTCAAAACCATGAATAAATAAATTAAGGTTTTATATTAAAAAATAGCACCCATTTGTAATTCAAGTGAATCATGCGATAGTTAATTAGGTCTACATATATATATTTAAAATATTTAAATAAAAAATTTTTTATGTAATTTTGAATAACTAAAATTATCAAGGATAAATTATAAAATTAAAATAAAGTAAACAAACACAAAATGTATATAGGCATATTATGCCATATAAATATTAAATTCCATGACCTTAAATGTGTTATGATTAAAAGCAAGAGGTACCCAAATTAATATTTTTTGGTCGAGATGCAATTGGCGAATAGGCTTGGCCTGATATAACTGATAGTTAATTTTTTTATTAAATTTGGTGTTTTAAAAAATATTCATAATTATTTAAGTGCAAGGTTATTTATAAATTTTAGGGCTGTGCCGGTATTAAATATCGGATCGCCACCGATATTTAGCGTTTTCCAAAAATATTAGATCGGGCCTATACATACTACCGATCCGATCTTTTTACTTTTCTTTTTTTTATTATTTTATGTATATTTATTTTACATTAATAATATTTTCTAAATAATTTTTTTAAACAATGGAAATGCAACAAAACACCCATTAAATTTTATTTATTTTAAATCTTTTTAAATAATAAGGCTGATTTTATTATTTATACTTTAAATAATAGGATTTTTTTAAATATGGCATCTGAATTAAGGAAATATTTTACAAAAGACAAAGATAATAAAATACGTTATCTGCGGAATTTTAATTTCACGGGGAATTCATTTAATACTACCAATATCCGTAATTAAAATTATTGTAGAAATAAAAAAATTAAATTCATAATTCGATTTTTTGCATAAAAAATCTTGATTTTTTAATTACATTTGGTTCAAAGGGGGTTAGTAAAAAATCAAAATAAATATCGGATCGGTTTTGAACCAATATTGGATCGGAGAAAATATGAGGATCGGCACAGCCCTAATAAATTTATTCAAATGTTTGGGATATCTATCTATTAATAAAAATAATTATATTTAATTCCTATAAATTGAACTGTTTTCACTTTGCGTTTAATTAAATAATCTATTTTAAATGTTTTGCTAATTGCCAAACCTTAATTTTGCGTTTAAAAAAACCTCAAATAATTTTATGATTTTTCCCCCTATTTAAAAAAAGTATATCAATTAGTTTTGAATAAACAGTATTATATAGAGGTAAATATATTAAATAACTATTATATTAAATTTAAAAAATATATTTATTCATGTCAAAAATTAAGAATAATTTTAAATGGAACAAAGGAAATTGCAAAAAATTTTTTACAAAAAGCATTTAGAATTTCCAGGAAAATTGATCAAAACTGCTTGAGCATTCTCAAAATATTTTGTTAAAAATCTTCATTCTTTTGCAGATTTTTTAATTTGAGCAGTTTTTGCTCTGGGTATTTTTTTTAAAAATTTTAATATTCATTTGCTTTAGTTTATTCTGCTTTGGAGGGTTCATCCAAAGCCAAAAATCCTTTTAAAAAATAATAAATGAAAGAAAGAATTTGATTTCATAAATTTAAATTAATTAATATAAAAATAAAACTATGACTTTGGACACATCCTAAATTGTAATAAGAGTCACTATATATAAATCATTTTTTTATTTCGTAATATTACATATTTTATAAGTTTAATTAAAAAATACATTAAAATAAAAATAATAACAAAACCAACTGTTAAAATAAATTATAAACATTAAGCTGGCAGGTAAATAAAATAAAAAAATATGGGTGGGTGATTTAAAATTTTTTAAAACAAGTAGGTGTGCTGGTTGGGTAAAACCCACCGTTGCAGAACTCTAGTCTAAATCTTTCTGCCATCTATGAGAAAAATCTCCAAGCTAATATTATTTAGCAACCTTTTTTATAAATTGAGTCATTTAACAATACTAGTCATTTAATAGTAGACTAGAAAAAATGGCATAATAATAAACATGGTCTATTTGGGGAATTTATGTTCTTAAAGTTCTGCTCAGTCCAAATAAAAAAATTTAATTTTGACAAATTATAATGTTTCTGGTGGTAAAAATATTTTTTATGAATTTTTACTAAATGTGTCACTTTTATTAACCATACAAAAAAACAAAAATGTGCTGAGTTTAAGATATATTTATAGCAGAAATGAAAATTTCACAGTGAAATAAGTATACATAAGCAAAATTACAGCTGATTTATGTAACAATTAATCTCATCACATTACTCAACACTGTTTCCTACTATTTACTTGATTTTGTATTTATACATAAAAATGGTTAAAGCAGTGATATTGTTCAATCTTTGTGGTTATTATAAAATGAGATAGAAACTTACAACTTTGCCCAAAGACCTAAAAAAAATTATATACCAATCAAGGAATAGGTTTGACAAATATTTAAAAAACATTTAGAAAATGAAGTTTCTTCTTGTTTTTCAAAATATAATGCTAATTAGAAATAATTGGTTATAAAGATGTGTTTAATTTATATTTTTTAATGAAAAATCTTAAGCCAGGTTCAGGTCTAAAATAAAAAAATTTTCAAGCTAGGAAGGGCAACTAATTGTAAAATGCTTAATTATCTTCAATGAACCCTTCTATTGTGTCCAAAGCAAAAGAAATTTGGATGCTAGATGTTGCCTGATAGAAGTGGAGGAAACTAATCCCAAAGATAAGTTGGAATAAAGCAGTAGACATTGACATGGAAATGCTAATTAAACTAGTGGTGATTGCCAGGTCCATGGGTAATCAAAAATGACTAGATAATTATATATTAAAATTCAAGCATATATATTTTTTAAAAATTATTAAGCTTAATTCTAAGTAAAACAAAAAATGATATTAGCAAAAAAACAAAAACTATTGCAACATATCTAATTATTATGTAAATAAAATATAAAAAAAATAATTATAAAATATTAATCTTCACAAAAATAAGTCAATATATAAATAAGCCATAATATTCTCATTTTTAGATCTAGCTTATTATATTTTTGAGTAATCTGTTATAAATAAATGAGAATATCAAGCTTTTAAAAATAAGTTTCAGAACTAAATAATACAACGTTAATTGCTGTACCTGAATATTTAATAGCTTGATAAAATGCTTCACTTTGGGTATATTGAAAAGAGCATAAGCATCAGAATTTCTTCTAATTTCCTTTAATACATCTTTATTCGTCTGCAATTCATTTAAACATTTGACAGCTTCCTAAGCAAGAATATATGAAACTTAATATCTATCTTTGAGTAAATATAATGATCTTACTTCATAATCTCCAGAATAACCGTGGTGCATACTTCTGGCGTAGAATTTGAATACTTTATTCTTCAGATTTATTACACATCTTTTTTGCATAAAATAATGACATAACGTAAACAAAATAAATCAAGTATGAGATGATCAAGTTTGATCTGCCTTGCCTTATTATTATTTTGAATTTCGTGCTACAAATCAACTAAAATTATTATTTTTAATTATTACATTTCCAATGTTTAATTCATTCCTAAACCTTAAATTATGTATTACTTGTCTATTATAAGTAATGGTTATAGTGGCCTAATACTAATTTAAAAATTTTATCAATACTTTATAATAATTTAATTTTAATATTTTCGTTACTTTTTTTACTTTAATTATAAATAGCATATTTATCAAGAACAATTACTTCTTTCGGCAAATATTTATTATATATTTATAAGAATCCTATCTTAATATCACCATAAAATAACGTCTAGCTTATGTAGAAATAAATAAATTGTTTGTCCATTTAATTATATTTATTACTTAAGATATGATACAAATATGGAGAATGACACAATAATAATGGTATTTTTTGCTCTATAAGTCATGCTTATATTTTATTGTGAATATTATGCTTCAGTTCTTTGAATATAGGTGTAGTAATACCAACTACTAATTATAAACAATACGACCACTGATTTATATTTCAATTTATTTTTGATATCAAATTTTATTTATTGTTTTTTCGAATGTTCGATTCTATTTTTAATATACAATATACATAAATAATCATTTATTAATTTATTACATTTCCTTCAAACAATTTAAAGTTAGATTTCTTCAATAAACCTCTTTGTAGGTTTACGGGTTCTTGATGAGCAACGTAATGTGGTATTTGTATTTGTGTTTGTATTTGCTTCATTCACTGGCACAACCATTTCTGTAACTTCCAAAGAACTTTCATGATTTGGGATAACTAAACGATTTCTTAACTGATCTGCATGCTTCCGTAATGTTTTCCCGGAAGATTCAACAATATAAGAATAAAGTTCTATTCTTTCTTTAATTACTCCCTCTCTCCAACCATTGGTATTTTCATTATTTAACCATATAGGTTGTGAGATTTCAAATTCTCTTTCCTTTGAATGTAAATCATGATGAAGGCTTTGTTTATCATTAGCTCTTACTATTTCGTGTTCGGCATTTGGTCGGATCCAATCCAAACTTGTTTTCAATTGCCTCCCAAACATAATTTTAGCAGGAGATCTGCCTGTGGAACTATGCTCTCCCAATCGGTAGGTTGTTAAAACCTGTGTCATAGCTTCTTCGGGATCGCTAATTGAATCTCTCGTTGCATAATACCGACCTTTCAAAGTTCGTACTGTACGTTCAGCTAATCCGTTAGTTTTTGGATGATAGGGTGCTGAACGTATATGACGTATGTTATTTAAATCACAATACCTACGAAATTCCCCTGATAAGAATTGTGGTCCTTTGTCTGACACACTGTACTTGGGTATTCCAAACCTAGCAAACCATTTATTTAGTCGTTTTATCATAGCATCAGCAGAGGTATTCTGCATTAGATCAACTTCTAACCATGGTCTATTTTTCTGGCATCCAGAACATATTTTGATAAAATTTTCTATATCAACATCACATCTGGGCCACCAACAATACAATCTAAAAATAGATTTCATTACATTTTCCCCAGGATGTCCCCAGTGAATCATTCCTAACACTGCATTTCTTAATTTATTAGGAATAACCAATCTCCCATTCCATTCTATAATATCACGATTGACAGAAAGCTCTTCCCGTCGATTATAAAAATTAACTATTTCTTTATCTTTATGACGATCAAAGTTTCGCCAACTTTGCTGAATATGTATTGCTACTTTTTTTAATATTAAATCTTGCTTCGACTCTTTTCGTAGAATATTTTCTGACAATTGCATATCATCTAAATTAATACTTCGAATATCCAAAGCATGTTTAGAATCTTGATTCTCTTCCGAAATTTCTTGGTGTTTATTAATCAAATCTCGAATTCTAGGATCTAGTGTTATGCAACATTTTTCTTTTTCAATATTGTTGACCAAATTGCGTACTTGTTTAATCATAACCTGACGAGGCATTTCTAAATTGAATGCTATAATCCATGGTAATCCGATAAGAGGCACCCCAGTTGTATTCATTATTACCACTGGTAGAGTCCTTGTCTGTGATCCAATCCTAACATTGACTTGGGTCTCGCCCTTGACGTCTAACGGATGATCACCATATGCAGTCAATGGACTGGTTGGCCTAATTTTTGGTCGCCCAATACTTGTCCATATATCAATTCCTATCAATGACGCTTGTGCACCAGTGTCAAAATCAAATTCAACATCTAACCCATTTATCTCTGCAGTTAGTTTTGCTCGATTCTCTCGATTTTGTTGAATCTTCCAAATATTATGAATAGAATCACTTGATGACACTCTTATATAATTTAAATTCTTTGATTTACAGCAAACTGCAAAATGACCAATTTTTTTACATTTATTACATGCCGCATTTGTAGCTGGACATCTCACTTCTCGGTTATGAATAAAACCACATTTATAACATTTAAGTTTATTATAATCTTTATCATTATTATATTTGTAGTTATTATTCTCTTTATCAAATGTATTATTATACTTGACTTTATTATAGCCTTTATCAATTGTAGTCGTCGTTTTTATTGGATGTTTATAATTACTATCATTATCATTTCTTTTGTTATTAACATTTATCTTATTAACAACTGGCATATTTTTATTTGCCATTTCTTTATCTGCTCGCTCAGAAGCTAATGCCAGATCAAGAATAAATTGAGAAGTCAGTACATTATTATCTCTATCAAGACCGTCGGGATATAGAGCTCTAAGATCTCTTTCCAATCCCGGTATTTCCATGCCAACCATAAACTGATCACGTAAACGCTCGTCAATATCATTAAGATAATGACAACGCTTTCCAATTGTTCTAATTTTATTTGCAAATTCAGTTATGGTTTCAGTTGTTCTCCGTAATCTAACGAAATCAAATCTAGAAGCAAAAGCTGTTGACGTCGGTTTAAATAGTTTAAAACATATTGACTTAATTTCCTTAAAAGATAAAGTTTCGATCGAATCAGGATAACAAAAACGGTCCACCAACTCAATATTCTTATTGCCAAAAAATGTTAAAAATATATCTTTATATTGACATTCAGATGGGCTTACGTTTTTTAACCGAAAACTGGCTTCCCATTGAGAAAAATATCTGTGAATAGAAGTATCCAACTCGAATTTATCAAATTTAATCGTAGATAAATCCGCTATTTTTTTTGAATCTCCATTTAAGGAATTATTTTCTCCACTTAAGGAATTATTATCTCCATTTAAGGAATTATTTTCTCCATTTATCGTCGCCATTTGTAGTAATACCAACTACTAATTATAAACAATACGACCACTGATTTATATTTCAATTTATTTTTGATATCAAATTTTATTTATTGTTTTTTTGAATGTTCGATTCTATTTTTAATATACAATATACATAAATAATCATTTATTAATTTATTACAATAGGGAATATAGCTATTAGTGTATATCTTCATAATGGTTGGGATTTAGCGCATGTTTATTTAATTCAAATAAAAAAACATTCATTCAAAAATCCCGCAAAAACAAAATATATGTGGAACCAACAATGTATATATTAACTAATTAATTATTCCCTTAATTCAGTTATAGCAAACATGAACGATTCAGGTTTGAGTGGAGGAGGATTTATGACAGGATCGAACTCTACATCCGTTAAAGTAAATTAAATAATTCTTGACAATATATAATATATAGACAACAATTAAAAACAAAAATCGCCTTCCATGTACAATAGCCTCCATTTTATTACTTGATCCAACGAGAGATACTCTTATAATTGGAGATATGGAATATGATCAGGTTTTGTTTTATTGATTTATTTCATTTCTCATTTGGCAATAACTAATTAAAATTTTACTGTAGATTACATTAGTTGGTTTAATTCGATCAGTCAAAGAAACTCCTACTAATATTACTTATGAATTAGATGACATGACTGGACCATATATTGATATAAAACAATGGCCATATCCTTCAAAAGTATTATATAATATGAAGCAATATACATTTTAGGTTATTTATTTTATTAGGATGATGAAAATGGATTTGAGGATAGTAGAAAAACTAAAATTTATCCTGAAAATTCTTATATAACTGTTATTGGGAGCATAAGAAGTTTTAATAGCAAAAAAAGCATATTAGCTCATAAAATTTTACCAATTACTGACATGAATGAATTAACGATGCACATATTAGAAGTTACTTATTCTCATATGAAATTGGTGGATTTATCAAATAATCTACATAAAAATATGAATTCAAATAATAGTATTGATCAAAGCAATGTTGAAGATTCCATGATTAATACTTCATTTACTCAGGGATATAACTCTGGTCTAAATCCATTAGCGCAACAAGTATTCAATGTTTTTATGTGATTTGTTTTATCTAATTTAAAATTTTATTTTATAAAAATTATATTAACAATATTATTCTTTAAAAATTTTATTTATAGATCTTAAAGACCATATCACAGTGTAACACAGAAGAAGGAATTACTGTAATGATGATTAAAAAAGCTCTGCCTAACATTTCAATAGATCAAATAAAGTTAAATTATATATAATTAACATTAATATCTTATATACAATAATTTCATATAGGGTTGGCTAAAGTTATGAGTATTTTATAAAAATATTGTTTATTTTTTTACAAATCATAATTGATAAAATAATAAAAATATTTTTATAATATATGTCCTGAAAAAATAAACCAAGAAAACGTTAATTATACATTTATTTTAATACATTAAACATCTTTTTTTTGTCAAAATGAATTTAATTATTGTTGGAGGATTAAAAAATACTTTTACAAATTTAATATAATTATAAACATTTCCAGAATTTTTAACTTTATTTATTAACAATGTTTATTTTAATTTAACTAATATTCTATTTTTATATAAACTTTTCAAATATTTTAACATGATGGATTAAAATTATGATAAAGTATATATTATATATAATTTATATTATTATAATAGAATATTATATAACATATTAAACATAATACTATATAAAATAACATGAAAACATTTGCATGGCCCAGCCCAGTTTTTTTTCCAAAAAATTTTTTTACAGCCCGGTTTGGCCCGGGTTAAAAAATTTTAGGCCCGGCTTGGAATTTTTTAAAATTATATTCGACCTGGTATATACAAAAAATTTACCTATATTTGGTATTTTATCATATTTTTTGGCGAATATTATCATTTCATAAGCAAGCATATTAGCTAATGTTGTTACAGTGAAGAGGGGGATATTTTTCACCAGATGTTAAAACAAAATAAAAGGATATTATTATATTTTTATCTTAATCATACTTAAACATTAATCTATGTTAAAAAAATATTAAACAACTTTTTTAAATGTCACACTTGAAAAATTTTTTTATAAAAAAATGTAAAGTTTTGTCATCACATATTTTCTTTTACTTAGTTAACGATATTTTATGTAGAATAATTTTAAAAATAATGATAAATTATTCATCTTAGTTATTAGATCTTAGTCAAAATCTTTTATTTCTGAAAATAGTTTTTTTCTCTCACTTTATTTTATCATATTTGAGACATAACTTTAATTTAATATTTTATTCAATTCGTATATTACATATAAACATTATATAATAAATTCGTAATTACATTAATACATGAATATTGATTATATAAAATATGAAATATTTAATGGTAGTTCATAGTCATAAATTGCTTGCTTAGTAGTACCTATTTAATTAAAATATTAAAAAATGTTAATCGTAATTTATTATATAATTAGATTACTTTAGTCAATAGGTAGTCCACAATAGCCCAGCTCCAAATATTGTTGCATATGATTATAAATAAATTGATGCATAATTTGATTAATATTTGTTATTATGTGCTCCCTTGTGCTTGTCTGGGAATTAATGACCTATATTTGTTTTTGAAGACCCCGAAAAAAATTTCAATTGTGGTTAATATGGGGGGAGATACTCTATTCTCTCTTTAAAGGCATCAATTAGATGACTTTTATGTATAGAAGCAATATCCATAACTAAGATGGCATCTGGTGGTAACATACTAATAATCTCCATTAACGAATTTCGAAATAATATACCATTATATGATCCGAATGATTTATATTTTCATTAATAGTTGCTAAAGAATTATTATTGCAGAAATGCTAGAATGTGATTGATAATTTTCCATATCATTCCCATCTGAGATTGGCAAAGAATAATTTACAGAAGTATTTGGGAGTAAAGGAGAGTTATTAAAATTATAAAGTAAGTAGTCTATATTAAACATTATATATTTAAAGATTTAAAAATTAATTAATATTAAATTAAATATACAAAAATATTAAATTATGTAAATGATATGTGAAAAAATATGTTTTAACTTCAAGTATGGCATTTTTTGAAAAAGTTGTTTAATATTTTTTTAACATAGATTAATGTTTAAGTATCATTAAAATAAAAATAAAATAACATCCTTTTATTTTGTTTTAACATCTGGTGAAAAATATCCCCCTCTTCACTGTAAGCCCCACGTTTCGGTTAACTCAATATTTTCGCCAGAAAAATATTGACTAAGCATTGAAATTTCGATACTATATGTCTAGACCTTTGCTCCTTCTAGAACTAAATTTTCAGCTTGCGTAATATTTTTCTGGGTAAAAAACTGAGTTAGCCGTTTTTAAAAATCGGCCCAAAACGAGCTGTTTAAGAACACTACCATATTTTTTTTTTAAATTCTAAACAGATTATTACAAATTGATACTATAAAAAATTTGTGTAAATAATATTTTGAGAATATACTATATTGATTGTATTTAAAAAAAAATAAAACTGATATTTTAATTAATAAAAAATATAACATATATTATATAATAATGTATTTAATCCTTTGCGTATTTATTCCTTTGCGTATTTATTCCATGGCAGGAAAACTTTAATTATATTATGTAATAGATACTATGAGTGTTAGCTAGTGTTAACTTTCACCCAACGTTATAATCATAACCATATATAATCATTATAACCATATCTAATTGATGAATATAATAATTCAAGTTGTATAAATTTTAAAAGAAAAATTTTTCAGGCCCAGCCTGGCTCAAGTTTTTTTTAAAAAAAATTTTCAGACCTGACCCGGCCCAGGTATATTTTAAAAATTTAAAATACGGCTCAACCCTGGTACCCGGGCTGGGCTTAGGGCCGGGCCTGCAGGTCTCTGATAAATAAATATAATATATTTCTAACGCAAAATTAATATAGGCAATAAATATAAAATTATTATTTAAGAGAACATAAGGTTAAGGAATTTAAAAAAGGATGTCTAAAAAAATAGTAAAAGAAACTGGAGAAGAAAAGAAGGAAGGTATAATAGGCATGAAAGATAACAAATAATATACAGGAACAAACCTTTCTCATAAAAGAAGTGATTTCTTAGACTGATCAGTTTTTTCACAAATTCATCTCCCCAATTCTTTTAAAATGATTTGAGCTTTGTTGCAGAAAGGCTTAAAAATGGAGTAGTCGATGAGTTAATAGGTTCAATGGAGATGTATTTAGCGATTTTCTGGGTTTCTGTGGGCAAGAGCATTGACTCAATGTAGGCAAAATCACAAACCAGTAGCTGACCCCCTGACCAATGAATTATAAACTTTCCATCACTACTTCCATTTTTTTTTAAATATGCTGGTTGATTCAAGTCTAGAGGGAATGCTTGCAGAAAGTGCACACAAAATTATGTAGTTACACTTGGTGTGCCATGATGGCCTTATGGCAAAAGGTCTTGACAAAATCGGCAATGGGGCAATGCCTACACTTATTTTACTATGTTTACATGGTAAGGTACAACAATTTCTCAGTTGAGCCATAATCCAATAGCAAATCTTAGCTCATCTGTAGAAAGCAGTAAATAGGCTTTGTTGAAGTGTATGGTTTCCAGAAACTCATAACTGTATCATTGGTTCAAGTGGTGAAAAACTGTGATATCATCATCGTGAAGGCTGATTTTAGATAAGCGATGGGACCGTTATTGAGGATAATATCCCAATCTTTCTAAGGGGAGGATCATAGAGTGTTTAAGAATCCAAATTGGCCCAAAATTTTTATATAAAAATATTGAATCAATATTTATGAGTAAATTGAATTAATTATGGAGATTTTCTTTAAATTTGGACTTTAATAATTTTGATTTTAGTTTTTATATAATATTTATTTAAAAGATAAAATTAGAAAATGGTGCCTAACATGGAATCTGCATATCTAAAGATATTGTTTATTTAAGATATTAATTTTCTTTTGAGATATTAATTTTCTTTGTTTCTGGTGATTGTTAATTTTTTACCTCATGTTTTTTGCCAAAGTTTTTTAAGGTCGTTTAAATTTAGAGTAAAAAAATATTTTTTCTTTGCTGATATTTGTTGTGTTAAGATGATTTGGTAGCCACAATTGATGCATATTGTGCATTCCAAATGCCTACATTATAATACCATACCAGAGATTTTTTGACAAAGAAGTATGAGTAATACTGTCTGGTCTTTTATTGTGAAAAATATTAGTCCAACTGGTTCTAAAGTGAAGGGAATGTGAGCTGATAATAGTGCCCTGCTAATCATGCCCTTAGAATATTTGCAATATAAGGAATGATATCCTTTACCATCAACTGCTGTGTTGCTAAGAACACATGTGTGTTGAATAGCAAAGTTTAGATGGAGCCCTTGATATTCGTAGTTCTTCAGATGAGAGATATATATCTAGGTTTTAAGGGGATAACATCAAACTTTTATACCTGTTATGATTTTTGATAAAAGGAATATTGGTAAGTTCCCCTAATTTCAGTTTAAAAGGAGTTAATTGAGGGAATATGCAATTAGAGGAGTGTTCAATCTTTTTGGAAAGCTAGTTAGTCCAGTGTTTGGTAATATATTTTTTAGTAAAGGCTGCTTGTAGACTTGGTCTGGTAATAGCGTTATTAATTGCTTTATTTCTTTGGAAGATTGACCAAGAGATAAATTGGTAAATCTCTTTTTAATAAATTAAATTAGCATACTGAAAAGATCCAATAATTTTTTTTATTTAATAATAAATAATTTAAATTGCAACATTTAAAATTGATTTATATCCTGAATTTTAGTTAAAAAAATCATTGTTTTAAATAAATTTGATTAAATTATGCCATGGCCATGGCCAAACTGATTAAATTATGCCAACCCTAATATATAAATTATTGGCTTTTTTAAAAGTTTATATTATTTATTTATGCAAAATTATTTTCTTATATGTGTACAATGTTTATATTGTTTGATTTTATTGTTATCTATAGAAGAGAAGTTGAATTTTTAAGCAACGAAGGGCACATATTTTGTACAATCGATGATGATCATTACAAATCTACTGACAGCTTCTAATTTATATAATCTATTACTTTATATATCATTTATATTGATCATGAATTTAGTCAGTTTATAGATTTTATTTATTCTAGGATGAATGTATGAAAAATATAGTTACATTATATTCAACTTTTGCAAATAAGCCTATCTGTAAATGTCCTATGTGATTCAACATTTATTATTAACAAATTTTTCCATTTAAAAATTAATTTAATAAAAAAAAATTTAATATTTGCATTATTTGTAAAAAAAAGTTATTAACTAGACAATCTACTATTCAAATATTTTAACTAGGGTTGATTTTGTTGATAGTGGTTTCCAGCGATAAATTGAAATATTTATAAAACAAAAATTATAAGAAGATGAAATCAGATAGAATACAAATATGAGAAGGAAATTACTATTTATTAGAATATATTAGGAAAACTGATAACTTAGTTAATTATCTTTATTAAGTTCAAACAAAATTGAAATAAGAGATACATTTTTTTTCACTTGATTTTGCATCAATTATAAGATTTGGAATTTTATAAGTTTTTTTTGTTCATAAAAATAATAGTGTATTTTTTTGTAATCATTTTGTTTATATAAATTGATTGAAATATATACATAAAAAATATATAAATGTTGCAAAACATTCCCAAAGGTCGATTGGAAGGGCCTCTTAGGGCATTTCTAATTCCTTTGTTTGCCTATTGCCCACTTATGCCCAGGCTTTAATCGGGGATTATTCTTGAAATCTACTATATTATAAAATTAAGAGAACTTTAGGTATAAAATTTGAATGCTATTATCATTTTAAGGTAACGATTTTGAATTCTTGGGTGAATTGTATCATCATACAAAGGTAAAGGCCTGTATCTTTAGAGGGTGAATTGGGAGATAAGAGTAAACAATTAAAAAGGTAATCTTTGATGCGTGACTGCAAAATTTTTATACGAGCCCTTTTTAAATAAAAATAGGAGGTCATAGGCTACTATTAGCATCTTTTGTGTCTTTAAATTAGAGTGGCGTGGCCCGGTTACCTTTCACATTATTAGACTAACTTACAGAAATCAGCATCAAAGCCTTCACAAGCGTTGTTAAAATGCCCGATTTGGGTCGATTTTTCAAAAAGGCCCGATAAGAATTACACCAAAATAATATTATGTAAGCGTCGAGATTTGGGAAATAGATGTCCACATTTCTGCTAGCTATGTGCAAAATCTTTAGGCTCACATAATGATTTTGGTTATAATCTTAATCGGGCCGTTTATTTAAATCGACTCGAATCGGGCTTTATAACAACACTAGTCAAAATTAAATTTGTTTTAAATGCTTTTCACCCTAGAGGAAAATATATTATATGCCTATGTTATTTTTATAATTGTTTATTTCTCGAAATTTCTGTAGTGCATTAAATTTTTTTTTTAAACAGGGTTAAACCCCTTCCTTATTAATATAAATAGCAACCTACTTACTCTAGCAGAGACTAATAAAATCAAAAATTATAAAAACCTCATTTTATGTTCTCGCTAGCGTCTATATGACAGGATTTTCATTGGATGCAAACCCCCTTCAAAAACCTTTGCCTACCCCTCTAAAAAATTCCCGCCTTGGAAAACAATGCGTATGATTGTTTGCAATATATAGATTTGGTCGATGAATTCTATTATAATAATTCTATAATAAAAGTATTTACAGCAATAAATTTTGTCTTATTTCATCTCAAAATTTAATAGATAAACCCAAAATTTTTTATCCTACCCCCATTAAAGCAGCCTACCCCCTCAAAAAAATAGGATGCAAACTGTTCCTACCCCTCCCGCTCATGTAGACGCTGGTTCTCGCCAATTGCAACTCCTACAACTAACAGTTTGCTCCTATAACCTTTAGTTTTTTTTAAAAAATTTAATGAATTTTTATTACTTATACAGAACATACAATTAAATATTTTTAAATTTAAGTTCCTTTAGGAATATATTTATGTTTTTCTTAAATTATTTTGGTCGTTAATTATTTTTCTATATTGCTCATGTAATGCTATTTGATTTTATTCAACATTACATATTAGAAACAAATTATTTTTAATTTAAAAAAATGTAAAGTGTTGACCTAAAAGTTTGTAATATATACATTTGAATATCATTAATAAAAATATATCCATTTTGGAGAAAATAGATTTTTGACTTAATATAATAGATAATCAAATTTTGTAAAATGAAATACGGAAATATACTTAGAGATTAAAGCTTTTATTATCTTCTACAACAAGTATTTGAAATTATTTGAATTCCCAATACAACCCCTAATGTTCCTTCTTCAGTGTTCAATATACTCATAGCAAAATAGAGCATGCTCTGGTAATTGATATATATCTGTAGTTATAAAATAATGTATTATATAAATAATATACTTTTGTAAAACTATTTTTTAGCTATATATTATATTTTACAGTAACGTCACAAGGTAGGGGGGCGCAGAGACTGCCCCCTGAAAAATTTGAATAGACCCATGAAGCGAAAAATTTTTTATTTTTAATGGCTCCCTAATATCATCCTGTACTAAAAATAAATTTTTTTGATAATCCCCTTAACGATTTTTTTTTAATAATTCTATTAAGTATTATTTATATATTTGATTTTAATATTTAAAAGATAATAACACCATCTAATTTTTTAATAAATGAGTTCTATTTTAATGATTAAATTAATACATATAAATTATATTTTCACTATGTCAGCTTGCAATCAAATTCTGTGTTAAAAATGGAATATCAATATCCCTCATAATATCTAAATATCAATTTAGAATTAACAAATGAACATTAATTGATTTTTATTTTTTTAAACTATTTTATAACCCTATAATTAAATAAATATAATCATTTTTTAATTGAAAATTAATAAATTTAATATTCCTATTTTTTTTGGGGGGGGGGGAGGGTTATCTATTATATTTTGAGATATAATAGGACAAAATTTATTGCTGTAAAAATTAATACTTTTATTATAGTATAATACAATTCATCGATAAAATCTATATATTGCAAACAATCATACACATTGTTTTCCAAAAAACTATCCTTTTAAATGTAATTTAAAAGGTTTAAATATTTCAGCAAGCTCATAATGCCATAATAATTAATTCATTGTAAATAATGTAGGTTTTAATTGAATTTATTATCTAAAAAAGAATTCTTTATATTCACAAAATATCGATAGTTGGTAGTAGAGATAGATTAATTTAAGTTATCCTTTATAAATTCTTTGAAAAGATTATCAATAAATAAATAGGTGAGAATAATGATAAAGCAAAGGTTTTTGAAGGGGGTTTGCATCCAGTGAAAATCCTGTCATGTAGACGCTGTTGATAGTTATATAATATATTACAGTTAATATTTCAATAAACTTTACTAAATGCTTTTGATAAGAAATATAAGTAACAATTTGCATTTCAATTCTTTAACGGCATCTATTTATTTAAAAAAATATTGTTAATTAAACATATTATTCATTCCACAATGGATGTAATCTTATTAGATATCTTTATTTCCTTCTTTTTTATGAGTTTTTAGGAAAGCTATTTTTTCCTTCTTTGTAAAACACTTTATAGTTAAATTTTTAATCCTAGTATATTTTTGATATTATTCCAAACTACTATTATTTTAAGATATAATGTATAAACTAGATGTGGTGCGACAATATTAAATAAGATCTTAATTGCTTTCATTATATCACTCTGTCCCCTATTTTTTAGTTATAAAATGATTCATATCTAATATGGCATCCATACCGTGTAACCTAAAGGCTTCAATATATTTGCATAATTATTTCTTTTAAAGATTTTTAGCGTTTTTGTTTTATCAATTTATATAACAAAAAATTCAGATATGAGTTTACATCGTGAGTGTCATGGCTTTAACTATTTGTGTGGCTCTGTTATTTCTCGTGCTGCTGAGAGCATTTGATTGCATAATTTAGATGAGCAATAACTGTCTAGTCGTTTATATATTATTAAAAATGGAAGTTAATCTTTTAGAAATTTAATATCCCACTTACTTATCTAGGTTTAACCTCCATATAGTTTTATGATTTGGATTATTCGTTTATATTCTCTTCTTCAAGAATTATTAAATTGGTTAGGCCTATAAATTTTTCTTTATTAGTCAATTATATAAAACATTGTCTAAAATGTTAACACAAATTTATATTAGTTTAATAACCTATTGTCAATGTAGGTTGCTAAGAATTATATTGCCTTGTGTAGTTTTTAAAACCATTGTCAATTGATGTTAACCTTTTTTATCACTTGTATTTCTTTAAACAAAATTTTTTTTTATATCCGCAATCGAGATATTTAATATTATAATTAATGAATAAATATTTTGTATTAAAGCATATTATCTTTACAAATGTCTTGTATTGTTTTACTTTCATTATTTAAGGGGCGCCGCTAGCCTTTACAATCTCAGGGGGCTCAACTATTTATGGGAGGCTTGGCCCCCATGCCCTTCAATTTGCGGGCCTTCAGCCCGCTTTTATATTAATATATTATACCTATTTTAAATTTATTAACTCTGAACAATTATTCTGAATTTTAATTTTCTCATTTATTATATTATGCATACAAAATAAACTGGCATATAAATAATTAAAACAATACAAGACATTTCTAAAAATAAAATTTTTTAATACAAAATCTATTTATTACAGTATAAAATATTTTCGACTGCTGATATAAAAAAAATTTGCGTCTAAAGAATTACAAATGATAAAAAAAAAGATTTATGAATTCATACATATGCCTCAATTGATAATAGTTTTTAAAAACCACATGATGCAATAATATAATTCTTAGCTACTTACATTGACAAAAGGTTATCAAACTAATATAACTCTCTATTACCATTTTAGACAATGTTTTATAGAATAGACTAAAAATGAAAAATTTATAGGCCTAAACCAAATCAACAGTTCTTGAAGAAGAGAGTATAAACGACCAATCCAAAACATAAAACTATAAAGTGGTTAGCTTCCTTTTAGATGACATGATGGTAGCTAGATAAGTAATCGTGAAAATTATTGTGAGATAAATTTCTAAAA